GCGAGAAAGCGTAGGAGGTTGGGGAGAGGGAAGGGGGTCAACTGTTGTTGGCGGGCGGAGCATGCACCAAAGTGGGCGGGGTTTGCCACGGTACTTCATAACTCGGTTCCAATAAGTTCCGGAGATGGGAAAAAGTAGAAAAGGTTGGGGAAGAGATGAAGTCAACTGATATCGGTGGGCGGGCATGCACCAAAGTGGGCGGGGTTTGCCACGACTTCATAACTCGGTTCCAATAAGTTCCGGAGATGGGAAAAAGTAGAAAAGGTTGGGGAAGAGATGATAGTCAACTGATATCAGTGGGCGACCCATGCACCAAAGTGGGCGGGGTTTGCCACAAAGATACGTAGCTCGATTTCGTCCCCTACAAGACCTCATAATTCGGCTCCGAGATGACTTAGAGACCTGAAAAAATGTGTATAGAGGTGAGAGGAGGAGTAGAGGTTGAATGTGAACGCTGGGCGTGGCACACCCCGAAGTGGGCGGAGTTTGCCACCACTCTCATAACTCGGTTCCTAGAAGTCTAGGCGACCGGGAAAATGTGGATAAGGGTTGCCGGAGGGAAAGGGGTTAAATGCTATTGGTGGGCTAAGCATGCACAAAGTGGGCGGAGTTTGCTACGAAATTAATAACTAGGTTCTTAGAAGTCCCGGCGACCGGGAAAGAAGTGGACTGAAGTTAGAGAAGAAGGGAGGGTTGAAAGCTGTCGGGGCAGGGTCACCGGAGTGAGCGGAAATTCCCACTCGCCGTCATAACTCAACACCCTGACGACCCTTAGTAGAGGAAATCATTGCACAGAAGCTAGCAGTGGAGGGAGGTGAAATGCGATTAGTGCATCGAAGTGGTTAGCGCGAAGATCCGCTATGGCATTATCAAATATTGGTAGTGTATCGGGCCAAGTTTGAGAATTTACGCCGTTCCAATCCACATTGCCGCACAGAGTCAACCCTGCGTTGCGCAGTTCTCAACGGCCACGTTGCGCAGTTTCGCCCGATTAGACACGTTCTCTCGCGCGAACATTCACACTCGCATGCTCGAGCCGTCTGTGTCTCCGCCCATACAGCGTGCGTTGAGGATCTCTCAACGTGCCGTTGCGAACTGCGCAACGCAGGGTTGACTCTGTCGCCGCACAACTGTATGATGCACGCGAATGCGTGCGCAGCTAAACTGGTGTATAAATAGAGTGATCCTTCAGATCATCACCAACTTGGAGCGCGATGTGAGGCGGCTGATTTACTCCTTAAATATTCCCAGTAAATGACGTGAACGATAATATCTCAAATTGGGCATTATTATCATTCTTCAGATGCTCTATGGAAGACAGTGCTGATCATGGTCATAATATAGTGGGTAATATAGTCATAATATAGAATTCTAATGATTTCTCGCTTCTTTTTCGAGGTAACATTGCTAATCTTCGATCCTGAGTATCCTATCCTGCATATGCACCCTAAAACTTTATAATTAGTAGCTTTCCAAGCCTAAAACTAATGTCTGGCAAGATGCCAAGTTCTTCGCGCCATGGATACTCTGCATGTCTGCATCCCCTGGGATAGCCGGGGAGCTCTCCCAACAGGGATTGTTGGGGAAGCCAGCCCCGCCTTTGTTGGGGAAGCATAGCATACGGCCCCAGATTTACTTGGAGGCCGTCGTCAGTTGCGGTGTTTGGTCTGCAACCGACACTTTGTTGCTTTTTGAAAGGGAGGTTATGTAAGATTCGTAGCATGGAAAATATGCTATAGGAAACATGATCATAGACATTTATTCATGAGAGTAAGAGCCAGAACTATAAACTGAATGGAACTCAAGAGTTCGACACAATCATCAAATTCACAGCAACGAAAGGGTGTAAAGCAAGCAAATGTATGCAGCAATGTCTGACAGTGTTGAGCGAACGACGCCGAGGGACAGCTGTTTTCTGCGGAAATATCGCGCTACAATCGTGTTGACCTTAGCCGTCCTTTGAAAAGCAATGCATCGTCATATTGGCGCGCTTCCAAACCTTTCGGACTGTTTCGTTCAAAAGGATCTACCCACATTTCCAAAGTGAGTATTGTCTTTCGCTTTGTCCGATGTTCTCTCCAATCACATCAATTGTTCATTATTTCTTGGATAATAATTTGTGAAGGCGCTATACAAATAGGGTGGGCACGCCCAGCTTCTCAAGCGGCTGTCCTCACCCCACCCCCTAGATTGGCTACACTCCCCCTGGCTCACGAATTCCCCGATTCTCGTGACAGTATAGTAGCGGGCAGCAGTCCCACTTAAATACATTTCTGTTAACACGTTGACGACGAGCGATTTTTCCTTGTCGCGCGCATGGGACGAGGCGTTTTTTGCATGCAAAGCGCCGGTAACAACAGGGCAAAACTTATTTTGTAGCTCTGTAAAATCTCGAAATGCACAAAATGCCTTTGACTAGAGTACTCCAGACACGTTTAGAAACAAGGAAAAGTTGTTACTACTGAATGCTGGGTGAAATTTCAGTGACATCGCCTGGCATTTTCAAACCTCAGGTTAGAATAGGTTCTGAAGGCGCAATTTCACGCATTCTTCATTTTTATTATTAATATGAGCTTTCCTTTAGATGGTACTGGTATCCTGATCACATCTGAAATCTTCTACGAATTTTTCACTCAAGAATGACGCAAAAAACTTTGCGTACCTGACGGAATGAGCTTTTGTTTGACTGTTATCTTGTTCTTCATGATCGAATAAGTGATTTAAACGAGTCATTTCAAGGTCAAAAACTTGTTTGTGAAATATTTGGCAGTTGATGGACTGGATAGGTACTTTTGTCCTGGCCTATGAGTAAGACTGAGCCTACTTGACCATCATGGGAACCTAAGGCTAGAAATGGACATTCTACTGACGGTGACCTAATTAGTAAAGTCGATATGAACGAATTTTAGTGAGATTTCCAGTTTGCTGACGGTGGGAACTTTGTGGTTGTGATTCAATTGACAGCGCGTTTCTGCCACTGATAACTAATTCAGAATAAAACTCCCAGGAATTAGAAAGATCATAATTCGCAGACAAGTGTAGTAAGTTAGGACACTGAAGTAAACGTTGAAATAGAAAAGTCGCGGGTTCCATCTAAGTTTGCTTACTTTCAAGCTGTCGGTCACCATTGACCGACATCGTCCCATGTGACAGACTGCCTGTCGGTCAGCATTGACCGACATCGTCGCCAACGTGTTAAAAATCCAGTGCTACACCCTACCTGTATAGCACCTTTGTGAATATGAGCATTATTAGTACCTCTCAAGCATGAGTATGACACTAGACCTAGAAAGGCCACTGGCAGGTTTCGCCTTCTCTTTGTTAACGCAACGGAAAGTGTGCGAATCGATCGATTTGCAAACTGTGACACCGGCCTTGGAGCGATGAGGCCACGCAACTGTCATGTCATTCACCCCGGAACCTCTTCACTGCTGGGCTTAGGCGTAAATTTTCTGTCGGATGGCGCGGGCGGGCAAAAAAATGGGCCTGAAATGACATTTGTGTCAACTAACACCATATTCGGTATCAGAGCACCGAGTCTCTTGGGTGTGTTTGCAGTTAGATCGCAGTTGTCGCACGAAAT